GGTTAATATTCTTTATCTTTAATATTACGAGTATTTGTCTATAGTGTAGTCTTGGCCAAATCTGTGACTAGAGAAATATAATAGTCCAAACTTATAATTTTAATTAATTATAGTCGAATTTCGACTAATGTGGGAACACTAGTTTGTAATAAATTCAAACATGTACCAGAAAATATTTTGAGCACTACTATAATCACACGTCATATGTGGTAATACGAATTCACATGAGCCTCTTGTTAATCGGTTATTGTAACGGAAAACAATTATGTAAAAGGAACAAATTAAAGTCATAGCGGGATATTTTTTTAACATTTGATTGATAATTTAAAAAAAAAGTATGTAAATCTTATGAAGGATTGAAAAATTTTTTTTACAGATTATTTCATCCAAAACTTTTGGTCGCGACTACATTTTAGACGATCCATAGGAGAAGCATAAAATAACTTTAAAAAAAATATCGGTTGTGGACTTTAGCGATAGTACTTGTGATATTGTCGGTCGTAAAACTTATGCCACCAAATCCTTATCCGGCTTGATAAGAGGGTATGTTGACCCCCATAATGTGGGATTAGGGCAAGAATAAGAAGTTAAGGGTTAAGCAGCTAACAGCTGTTTAACCTTTAACTTTGGTGGTAGGCCCTATATCTTAGAACTTATATCTCAAGGCGGGTGGCGGTTTACAGGTAGGTACTTTTTCTACTTGTTCACAATATAAGATAGTCTTCCCTATTTCTAACCTCCACAGTCATGTGGTAAATAAAGTGCTTAGATGCCTACATTAGTGAATTTGATGTTGCATGGTGTAGCGTGGGTGGGTGGCGCATTTACGTTGTAGATGTCTATGGGCTCCAGTGACCACTTAACACCAGGTGGGATGTGAGCTCGTCCACTCAACTAAGCAATAAAAAAAAGGTAATCCTTATTAAAAAAAAACACTTTTTCATTGTTGATTTCGTTTATTCATATCATTAAGTATTACATTGTCCGTACGTACGTTTAAAAATAGTAGTTACAAAAAAGAGTACTTACGAAAAGTGAAAAAAAAAAAACTTACATCATTAATCTTAATTAAAAATAGGTTTTTTGGGTATAAATTCATAGTTGAAGCTAAAAATGACGATAAATCAATCGAAGATTCAAAGGCGATNTTTCATTGTTGATTTCGTTTATTCATATCATTAAGTATTACATTGTCCGTACGTACGTTTAAAAATAGTAGTTACAAAAAAGAGTACTTACGAAAAGTGAAAAAAAAAAAACTTACATCATTAATCTTAATTAAAAATAGGTTTTTTGGGTATAAATTCATAGTTGAAGCTAAAAATGACGATAAATCAATCGAAGATTCAAAGGCGATTCTTTGGAACTCCAAGAAATTTATCACAGTATACGTAATGTTTATACCGACAGTTTTAGATTGAACTAATGTGAAATGTTCTTAACATAAGAAATATATGCACTAATCATTTAAGAAAAGTGCAAAGCAAAACTATCTTTATAATATTTTCAATAACGTCGTTTTTGGACTGAATAAATACAGCAGAAATGCAGGCTGATGGTATTTAGTAAGTCACAAACATTACGGTTTTTTTTGAGGCTGTCTTCAGAGGGAAGACGATCGCTTCGTGGGATTTTTAACATTTGAACTTTTTTAAAGCTATTGCATAGCTTTTATCGCGGGCCTTGAGCGCGGCGACCGAATCATGAAATTCCGTAACGAAAAAAACCTAACACCCCCCTCCGCCTACCATGTAACTCGCGTTTAACACATTCACACGTTGCGCTTGTGTAGTGTTTGTGAATAAGCGCGTGGCGTGACGTCACACTGCATGCGCATCATGAAAAGTCTGCCCCTCTCCCTCTCGCGTGCGGTCTAGCTTATGAGTGTGAAGGGGACAGTTAAGGTTTTGCTTTTATTAATGTTTAATATAGCGTGGTCTTGTTTTATTATTGTTTTGATATTAAATTATTATTGTCTAATTATAATTGCATAAGTTGATAAAAAATTCTATGCAATAGCTTTACCGCGACAGTTCCCGAGTGCCACACGTTTTTTTATAACTATGTTTCCCAAACGATAACTTCCTGAGAAACATCAATATTAAATATCGAATTATTTCTTTAACATTTAAAACTAAATCGCAAGATTTGACCTGAAATATCGCATGTTAATTTGATTCCTGCTGTAATTTATGTCATTGCTATGCAGCAGTTGTCGTCTTGAATCGCCGAACGTGGATCTCCACGATGACCTGGAGCTCGACTCTGTCAGTAAGTATCTACAGTCGGCATCGCTGCGCCACTTTGAGAAGGCGGCACGACATGAGAACCCTCTTATCGTGGTGCTGGAAACTACATACCCGACCCAGTAGATCGAATGGTAAACCGTAAACGTCGCCCAAAGCACATCATTACGGATCCTCCTGATCCATTAACGGTGCTTTTGTGTTAGCAACACTCCGGTTTGGCCTCGTGAGCTCACCTACACGTTAGGGTGAAGCTGAAATAGCCTCTGCTATCATCAAAGGTAAGAAAAAAAAAATGAATCGCCTGATAATTCGTTTTGTTAGTAAATTTCAATCTAAAACTATCGTTCGATACTTAATTAATTTATAAAACTAAAATCACTATAACTTTAACGATTACATTGATAAATGCAAGAAAAAATATTTTAATAGTACTATTTAAATCTATTAAAAGTGCGTAGACACATGTAGATTCCTTCTTAAGAGGAGAAACAAAGGACTTGAAATCTAACTGACTCAGATTCTTTAATTTATAGATTAGTTAAATCTCTTAAGCCATCGTCGATGTGACAATGTCAATAAAGCACAAATATGATGGAAAATATGCGTGTAATTGGCGGCAATAAGTAGGTATTAAAACTTCTAGAAAGAATCAATTAGTGTTGTCTCTGTTTAATTCACGGAAGTATTGGTTTTAACTCTGCTGTTGTACTGCACAGATGACATTCTAGAATTATTGATTCACTGTCTCTCTCTAATAATTAGAGAGAGACAGTGAGGTGTGTATAATATAAATTTCTTAATTTCTAGTAACTTAGTTGAAGATTTTAAAAAAAAAGATGTATTTATGTTTAAAGCATTGTAATGTTGTCATGAGAATTCTATAGTATTAATTCGTTTTGCTTCATTTATACTTGAGTTAAAAAGTTTACTAAATAATTACAATAGTCGTTAATTTGTTTGTTAAATTTAACAATGAAATTTACTAAATTGGACCGTGTCTAGAAGTAGTTACTGAAAGTTAATATAATTAAAATTAATTGTAAATATTAATATGCGTAAAATATTTTCAAATACGCACTTTAAATTAGGAATATAAATGTGAATAACTAAAATTAAAACATTTTTGTGACTGATTACTTAAATTAACGATTAATTATATTAATAAAAAACCAACAAGATAATGATTTAAAATTTATATAGTAAGGCACCTCGAGTTTTTGGTTTTAAATTAAAAGAAAACAAAAAATAAAACGAAAAATGAAAATTTTCTTAAGTTTATAGAAAATCGTGTATTTCTATATAAAGGTGTAAAAATGAAGCGTTTTGAAAATGATATGTACACGGAGCGTGCCCTAAGATAAATATATTACCATTAATTCGGTTGCTTTCTCTTTTTATAAATTGTTAAGAATACAAATAAAAATTCATAAATGTTTACGCAAATAAGATTAAAGCAGTATGGCTCCGGTGCCCTTTGTCTCGCGTTTCTCTGTGAAAGTTTAAAAATGTAGTTCCTTTTTGGACTTTTTGGCGGGAACGCGAGGAGTGAAGGTGTGTTTTTTTTATTTTGTCTACTTAGTGCTTCTTCAGGTTTAAATGTGTAATACGGAGGTTTATTAACTGTTTAATATCTGTGAAAGTGCACAAATGTGGAAAAAGGAAACAAAGCCACTGGACGTAACTTCTCGGGATTCTCCAAAAAGTCCACTGAAAAATCTCAGTAAATGACCACCGTTAGTTATACTGAGATTATATTTCATCCCATACCATCTCATCTCATTTTATTTAATTTCATCCCAGTTGATTAATGTCTCAAATTAATCATCTTCATTTCATTTCACTCCATATTATCATTTTTCATAATAATAAGAATATAAATTAAAATAAGACTTGACTTAAAGGTCTTAGTTACCAGGTCGAAAAATTCCTTAAAAAAAGTAGTTCCTTTTTCGGACCCCCCCAAGCGTTCGCTGCTCATGTTTGAATTCAATTCTCAAATTACAATTTTAGTGCAATAATCTGTATTTTTTAACAAATAATTTCCTAATAATAGAAAATATAGAATATAGAAAAAATAGATTACAATAAAACGCCGGTAGTATAGTGATGAGTAAATATGTTTGTTTATTTTTCATTGCGCGGAGTAAGCAATGAAGATAAGACAAACTAACCCTTAACTAAGCTGGTTCTTAGGGCACGTCGAAAATTGTGCTAAGTGAAAAAGTTATAAAGTGACAATCGATATCCTTATTTACGTAAATGAAACAAAAAATTACACCTTAATATGGCATACAATTATAAATAAGGCTCTTATTTATTCGTAAAGAGATCAATAGCTATGATAATTAATAAGTTGAATTATAATTAAGTTTTACATTAAAACAGAAATCGTAATATATTACGTGAAATTAATATTAATTATATTTCATTCGGGATTTGCTAAGTCCGGTGCGTGTTAGCGACATCTTTGTTTCAGGACGGGTCCAATACAAAGCACAAATCTATATATATATATATATAAATGAATTGCTGTTCGTTAGTCTCGCTAAAACTCGAGAACGGCTGGACCGATTTGGCCAATTTTGGTCTTGAATTATTTGTGGAAGTCCAGGGAAGGTTTAAATGGTAGATAAATATGAAAATGCTCGGAATTAAATAAAAATAATTTTGTTTTCCCTTTGATGTGTCCCCCGTCGGACGGATTCTTTTTGTTTGTTTTAAGTTTATTTTATACAAAAGTTTAGGTCTTCTATTTATCGATTGAGGCACTACGAAGTCTGCCGGGTCAGCTAGTATATGATAATTTTTCACTATAATGTTTTCGTTCAAGAGGAGTTCAATCTCCGTGCAAAATTATAAACCAATTGGTGATTGATAGCTTTGTTAGTACATCTTATTAAAATAAACTTTTTATTACAATAACTAACAATTTAATACTTCATTAAAAATAAAACCAGATAATTGGAATAATTAAATCAAATAAATTGCATTATTTGTTATCATTTATCGGATGGACCGAGTTGAATGAAACATTAGATTATTTTACGATTTCTGTCGTAACGTGCTGTTTTTCAAATCTTCTGTCGAAATCTGTATTAAATTCGTCTTTGTTGATTCTTTTGTTCATTTATTCTTTTCATTCTTCTTTTCGTTTCACGTCGAGCCCAAAGTCGTCTGAAAATTAAAATAATGTTAATTTGTATGTATACTAACATAGTAAAAGCTTTGTATAAGTTACTTTACTTTATTTTATTGGTGGTACGACCTCTTGTGAGTCCGCACGGGTAGGTACCACCACCTTGCCTATTTACTGCTGCCTGGCGGAGCAGCCATTGTAACTATACTGAGATCTTAGAACTGATATCTCATGGTGGGTGACGCATTTACGTCGTAGATGTCTATGGGCTCCAGTAGCCACTTAACACCAGGTGGGCTGTAAGCTCGTCCACCCACCTAAGCAAAAAAATATATGATATGACTGCAGAGGAAATCACGGTGGTGGTCCTCCTAAGAAATTGGGTTGGATGTCAATTGCATTGAAAGGACGGATGTAGCTTGAGGGCTGAATCTCTATTTGGTTTAAGCGATATTTGTTTTAACTCTACAAGAGAGCCAAGTTTAAAACCAGGAGCAAAAAAATCGTAATAAAAAAAGGTTCTTCAGCCATTTAAACTTAATTGACGTTCAATTAAAAACATCGAATTACAAAAATAAATGTCGCATATTATGCAAAAGGTCACTTAAATCAAACAGCATTTCACCCCTCGGACTGATTACTTCGCCACAGAAACAGGCAAGACTATAGAAACCGGTGCATTTACAAAAGACCCTTTTTTTATTTTTTTTATTTTATTGCTTAAATGTGTGGACGAGCTCACAGCCCACCTGGTGTTAAGTGGTTACTGGAGCCCATAGACATCTACAACGTAAATGCGCCACACACCTTGAGATATAAGTTCTACTACAACAGCTAGTTACAACAGCTGCCCCACTCTTCAAACCGAAACGCATTACTGCTTCACAGCAGAAATAGGCAGGGTGGTGGTACCTACCTGTGTGGACTCACAAGAGGTCCTACCACCAGTACTAGTTTATATTAGTATTTATTCCTTTTTTCGATCTTCTATGGCCTTCCACCTATCCACATACCCACTCGTTCTAAGGTCTCAGTATAGTTACAACGGCTACCCTACCCTTCAAACCGAAACGCATTACTGCTTCACGGCAGAAATAGGCGGGGCGGTGGTACCTACCCGTGTGGACTCACAAGAGGTCCTACCACCAGTAAAAACCTACCTGTTCGAAGCGATAAGGGGTAAATTAAGTAAGAAAAACGGAAAACGTGAATACGCTGTAAAAAATACACAGTATTCAGGCATTCAGAAGTGATATAATACAAGTGAGAGATGAGAAAGTGTTACATAATAAATACATCATGAAAATTTTATACCCTTTTCGGCACGAGTTTTAGAGTTGAAAACCGCGCTTTAGAATTGGCCCCATACCCATACGCTCTCGTTAATAGACGAAATATTACTGCGATGTCTACATTCTACAACTATAGTATTATCATGCCACTGTAAGTTAACAATTGGGCAGGAGTCCAACAAAAACTACACGTAATTGGTCAACTAGGCTATTTATTGTTTCATTAGGGAGATGGCTGTGTCTTTGTGATAGTTGACGTCCAAGAGTGATCATTACCACTCTACAATATGCTATAACTATATGGCTATATGTTGTAGAACCGAGCTTGTCAACCGAAAATCGATTTTAATCGTATTCCTATTTCGGTTCCGTTAAAAAAAAAACAATAATAATGATCTATTTAATGATAGAAATGCATTGAACTCGCCTTTTTTTTCATTGCAAATCAAACTATATTGTTATGTTTTTTGTAGTGTTCTATCTCGATTCAGAGTTCTTTATACTGTTCTGAAAGGGAACTGTGTGGAACTTGTACATGTTTTATTGTTACTGGCTAGTTAAGGCATGATACGCTCCGCCGTAAAAACCGCTAAATATTTTAGAAGTAATGATTTGCGCGCCATCTATTATTCGTGAATCGTATTAATTATTATTTTCTTTGCATTAGGGCTTGCGCGGTTGTAGTACATAGAACATCAAGCATTAAAATTTACCATGAGATTATGTGGATCGCAATTGTATTATTGTATAACAGAACACTTAGTTCATTCAGGTACTTAAGTACAAATTTTCTAAGTTCCTTGATAATAGCGAGTCTATATGTAAATTGATTTTATTTTATTTTATACCACTATTTTATACGACAGGTATGTCATTAAAGCTTTTTTTACGGTTTTTTGACGCTTCTACGAAACCGTAAAAGTAGTTTTAATTACATGTCCGCGACTCGCGAAAACCAGAAAAATAATAATGAATTTTCAAATGCAGTCTAAGTCGTATTTATTTTAGAAGCTTTTCATCGCGCAAAGCTCTAATAAAGGGTGTCGCCCTCATTATACGGTACCTATAAATAATTCAGTAGCATTGCGTCTGGATATCGGTTGTGTATACAGCAAAAACTGGACATATCTAACCATCTGGTTTTTGTGGTGAAATTAATGTACTTGGGCTCTATGTTTATCCTGGTGGTTAGTGGTAGGGCTTATATTTATAACTGGTGGGAGGACCTCTTGTGAGTCCGCAGTGTGAGTGAAGCAGCAATGCGTTTCGGCTTGAAGGGTGAGGCAGCTGCTGTAACTATACTGAGACTAGAACTTATAGCTAAAGGTGGGTGGCGCATTTACGTTGTAGATTTCTATGGGCTCGAGTAACCACTTAATACCAGGTGGGCTGTAAGCTCGTCCATCCATCTAAGGAATAAAAAAAAAGTCCTGACTTTGTTACGGAAATCCCACACACTCGATCGGTGCTCGAAGTGAAAATGTATTTTGCTCGACGTCTATCTATCTATATATTAATACGTGAAGCATAAACTTTGTATCCCTTTTTACGAAAATTGCGCGGACGGAGGAGTATGAAATTTTCCACACTTATAGAGAATATAGAGAAGAAGTGCACAATGCTATTATTTTTTAAAAAGAATGCATAAAAGATACATTAAATCAATAAAGAAAACATTACACACACTACATACCATGTATTTGACGCACACACGCATGCATACTATTTATTGTCAAACTTTTGTTCTTGACGTCTGTTGTAAAATTGAGAATAGATTAAATATTGTTTGTCTTTGTTAATATTTTTTATAGTGTAGCCTTGGCGAAGTTTGTGATTATAGAAGTATAAAATACAATCATATTAGTGTACAAACTTACAATTCCAATTAATTATGCAGGACCTCTAGTTTACGTAATTCAGGGAGGCGTCCTTATTTCTAAGTTTCGTTCGTCTGATTAAAGAAACTAGTGGTCCCGCAGTAGTTGAAATTCGACTATAATTAATTGAAATTGTAAGTTTGTACACTATTATGATTGTATTTTCAAATACTATTACTTCTATAATCACAAATTTCGCCAAGACTACACTATTGAAAAATATTAATAAAGACAAAAAATATTTAATCTATTTTCAATTTGACAACAGACGTCAAGAACAAAAGTTTGACAATAAATAGTATGCATGCGTGGGTGCGTCAAATACATGGTGGTGTGTGTAATGTTTTTTTTATTTATTTAATGTATTTTTTAGACTACATTCTCTATAAGTGTGGAAAATTTCATACTCCTCCGTCCGCGCAATTTTCGTAAAAAGCGATACAAAGTTTTTGCTTAATACTTAAATATAAAACAATTTAAAGTATAAAAAGCTTATTCGAAGTGGTCTCCATTGGCTGCAATACAGTCCTTTAAACGTTGAGGCCTGTTTCCTTCACGTATTAATATATAGATTCAATCGGAAACAATGACATCTAAAGATTACGTTTCATTTTGTGTATTTACATTTTAGACGCTTTTGTTTGCTTGAATTTTTAACGGTAATTTAACGGAATCTTTTAAAGTAAATTTTACCATAACAACACGTCCGATTAACTTGGAAATTTGCTCACGTACCTAGGTACCGATGACAGCGCAATAACTTTATTACTTTGACCTAATAATGTGTCGAGTAAGACGGTCAGCAAAAAAAAAAAGTTTTTAATAATGAAACGTGCGTTTTTGTTTTTAAATAAAAAATAAATAATAGTTTAAAAAAACTAACAATATACGTTTTTATAGAAAATTCAACTAAAAAATAGAAAATAAATTTTAATAAATTTGAATTAAAAAAAAAAAGGTTTTATTGTAAAAAAGCGTGGGGTTCATGGTATCAGTAGTTATAAATATTTTATGAACAGATATGAGTAGAAGGATTATTTTGATAATATCCTGAAAAGCACCCGCGTATAAAAGCGTATTTTGTTAGTTTTTTTAAACTATTGTTTATTTTTAATTTTTTAGTTGAAATTCAATTTTTTTAATTTTTTTTAAATATTGTATTGTCATCGGTCCTTAATAAGTATACCAAATTTCGAGTTAATCCGACGTTCTGAAGGGGTTCAAAATCATGTTCAAAGATTCCGTTACAAGCATACATACATATGTCTGAAGCTAAAAGCATAATATTAAAAATATTTTACGTGTTATCTTTTGTATCGTTGCTTGTTTTAATAGAAATTCTAATTCATTTTTTATTTATTTATACAATATAAGCGACGCCAGAGCTAAGCCATTGGCTACTCGATTTTATTACATTGCCTTCATTGCGGTAGGCAGAAGTTGGCTGTGCCCCTGGTATTGCTGATGTCCATGAGCGACGGTAATCACTTACCATCACATGGGACGTATGTTCTCCTCTAATAAAGACGATAAAAAATAGCGTCATTTCAAACTATCCTTACTAGTACTGTGAATCAATATAGACACCATAATATATTAGATAGGTCTTTAGGTTTTAAAAAAAATATAATAATATCCGAAAGATACTCAATTACTCATTCAAAATGAAATCTTCAAAGCTCTATTTAATTGGATTTCTTTTTGCGTGACAAAAATGCAAAAACATATTTTCGCGTGAAGCAATTAGGCTTATAATCCATTAAGGTATCGTGTCGCATGCCAGAACCGGGCGTCGTCGGGACACTCCCAGCCGTTTTCATTGCATTAACTTCGCCAATTAATACGAAAGGAAATTTTTTGTGTGTGTTTTTTTTTGTTCGTGAGTTATTTTTTTAATGTCGAGGTGCCCTTGATTTTCGCAAGGTTTTTGGAGGCAATCGATTAGTTTACATAGTTATCTACTAATCTATCAGCCCACAGATGTCCACTGCCGGGCATAGGCCCACAAGCTACAAAGATCGGTCCTGCGCTACCTAGTATTGCATTAGAATAGTGAACGAGGGTCTATCTAGTGTTTAATTGAGCCCATAGGCAGTATGGGTGCAGCCACCTATCCTTGGACATGAAAAATCCTTTTCCGCTTATCATTAAACAGACTGGAACGCGCGAATTTTCGCTGCAGAAATAAGCGAGGAAGAGCCCCCCCCCCCGTCTTGGAGGCGTATTATCTCATCAAATATCCTACCGCCACTATCCAATATTGGATCAATAGAAAGACCCCATTATCTATACCCATCTACTTATATACTCATATCATAAAGAGGAAAGATTTGTTTGTTTGTTTTTATTGAATAGGCACCGAAACTACTGAACCGAATTGAAAAATTCTTTCACTGTTTGGAAGCTACACTATTCCCGATTGACATAGGTTACAATCTTTTTTGAAAAAAATTAGGGATCCTTACTAAAACTCCAATAATGTAACCCAAGGAGTAAAAAAATGATCTAACTTCTTTACATCGCGTGCCCTGCGAAAACTATTGATGATAGAATAAAATAATGTACTATGACTTTGTAGAACACATTATTATTTACAAAAAGTGTCGCGACAGCATATGTCTAACTATTATAGTTATGCCGCAATAAGTGTTCTTTTATTTAAAAAATTAAACAAGGTCGATCATCATCATCATTATCCTGCCCTTCTCCCAGTCACCTGGGGTCGGCGCAACATGTTTTCTCCTTCCATACTCTTCTATCATATACCATTTCTTCGCTCACTCCCCTCCTACCCATATCGTCTTTCACACAATCCATCCATTTCTTCTTAGGTCTACCTCTTCCTCTAAATCCTTCCACATTCATAGTTAACACTCTCTTAACAACCTCATTTTCATTCCGTCTCATCACATGTCCATACCATCCCAAACGTGNCCTTGAGATATAGTTCTAAGGTCTCAGTATAGTCACAACGGCTGCCCCACCCTTCAAACCGAAACGCATTACTGCTTCACGGCAGAAATAGGCGGGGCGGTGGTACCTACCCGTGCGGACTCACAAGAGGTCCTACCACCAGTAATTACGCAAATTATAATTTTGCGGGTTTGATTTTTATTGCACGATGTTATTCCTTCAGCGTGGAAGTCAATCGTGAACATTTGTTGAGTACGTATTTCATTAGAAAAATTGGTACCCGCCTGCGGGATTCGAACACCGGTGCATCGCTAGATACGAATGCACCGGACATCTTATCCTTTAGTCCACGACGAAGTAGACTGGAACGCGCGAATTTTCGCTGCAAGAATGAGTGTTTTTTTTTTTTTATTGTGTGTTTATTAGTATATGTTTTTGTTGTGACTGCATTTCAATATTTTATTTAAAAAGGCGCCCTGAGAATTTTTTTTTATAAGATCTCATATTCTCCACTGTGGCTACCGGTTGGTGTAACGCTTACCGTTACAGGTAGAGGCCTCATCTTGAAGGCGTATTATCTCATCATATACCCTACCGCCACTATCCAGTATTGGATCAATAGAAAGAAGCCATTATCATTAATATCTACTGATCAATATTTGCTTAAAATTATGCAAGTTGTAGACACAATTAAAACTAATTTTACGGTTTAATCTCTCCGTTTCTATTGCAGCCATCGGGACATAAAATAATTAACAGACAATGATAATATTACGATCGTTTATATCTTAACAGAATGAAAACATAAATTGGGTACTGGAATAACGTATTCCGAAACAAATCGATGTGCAATACCATTACTTGCAATTACCAATTGCATTAGATTATTTCCTAATGTATTGATGCATCTGTAATGTTTTGAAATAAGCGAACGAAGATTGAATGTCCTCACTGTAAGCCAGTAATTGCTAACTGAAATGCTACTAGTATACGAATGGATAAAGAACATCTTATATAAACATAAAACTATTTTTTACTGGTGGTAGGACGTCTTGTGAGTCCGCACGGGTAGGTATCACCACCCTGCCTATTTCTGCCGTGAAGAAGTAATGCGTTTATGTTCGACGGGTGGGCAAGTTGTTGTAATTTAAAAACTGAGCCATTAGAACTCATATCTCAAGGCAACATTTACGTTACCGGTAACCACTTAACACCAGGTGGGCCGTGAGCTCATCAACCTCTATAAGCAATAAAAAAAGGGCCTCGTTCCTTCCTAGCCAAGGCGTAAGTTAGATATGGTTTGTGAATTGCTTTGCGTCTTATTTGATAAATAAAAACGTGCTCTAAATTGATGTCATAATTCAAGATACATGGCAAGAAAGAGCTTTCAGCTTAAAACTATAAAGTACTCACCATTATTTCAAAGGTAAAGCGTTGGTACCCGCTTCTGCGCACCCAGAGACAATTTAGAGGTAACGTTCTTGTAATTCTCTTTTTTCACCCTAGCTTTTGGTTTCTCATCAACCGGACACCCCTTAAGTTCCCAGACCAAGTTCGTCAAGCTTTTTGGTCTGCTTATCTTCCTAGATCGTTTCTCGGGTAATTTCGGTCCATTGCCAGAATCTCCAGATGTCCTGCCACCTGAATGACTGGAGTCCAGCGTTCCATCTAACTCCATGGCTTGGTGAATGTTTGAAAGACTCTTATACCTTATGTTGAAGATAGGCGAATCGCCCTTAGTTAAAGGTCTGACTGGACTAGCTAAGGGACTAGGCGTTTCTTTTGTGGGCGAGCTACTTTTCTGCCTGAAAACTATTTTAGTTTTGCTGTTGTTCATGTTGTTTTTTATGAACAGCTTCGGTAAGTTCGGTACTTGCGCCACAGAGCATTTTTCTTTGTAGACAATCACCGGTGCCTCTTTCGGCACAATTGATTTTCGGGTTCTTTTCTCTGCTTTCTGAATGTTCAATGGCTTTTTGGTGGGGATCGTTTCAATGGGGGGCGGCTCTGGCTTGATCTCCGTGATTAGTGGCATGTGGATGGGCGTGGCTGCCGGCGAAGCGGGGGCCGATTCATGTCTAGGAGGAGGATCGTTGGAATAAGATGCCTTAATGCTTTTCGGTAATGGAGCGAAACCCCTGACGTAGTCGTAAATTTGGTCGATCTCATCATATTCGTCGGGAATGCTGTTCTCGTCTCGATGACTGCTGTAAATGTGATTGTGTCTCAGATGCTTGTGTTGGTTCGCGGAATCGGATGACGCGCTGCGCCGTAAAAAGTAACCGGTTTTAACTAACGGTGGTGCGTTTAATGGGCCATTAAGGAGTCGTTTTGGGTCTCCCAATTTGCCATCGAGTACGTGCATCCTGTCAACAACGTCAGTCAGCAGTCTGTTACATTTCTCGACTAATCTTGAGAATTCCATGAAATTCTTAATTAGTTCCTCGTTTTTGCACTTCTGCAATTTGAGAGGAGCAGCTAGAGGTAAAGCAACTAATGCATTGCCTTCTTTGGGTAGTGGCAGAGCGAAAACATGTTCTTCTTCGAACATCGAAAGCAGTCTTATTTCAGGAACGAAATGGCTTGCACTCTTCAATCCTCGCGGCGGAGTTCCGTGCACTAGTCTTACCGTTATCGGCAGTCGTTTCGTCAGCAAAGTCTTAGCGGTGTGAACTCCACTGATGTTCTCTTCTTTAGCGATAGCGGAAAACTTTCCTCTCTGATCCAGGCTCAACAAGATCAGATCTCCTTTTGAGTCTGTGCATTTCAAATACTTATTCTTACCCAAGAACGTTTCACCTTTAGGCATTATTATTTCGCCGGCGGGTAAGTTTCTGGTTCCATCCGCTGTGATATTACCATCTAAATCTGTTTTCCCGCAAATTACTCTAATAGGATCTCTAACCAAGCAGCCATCGTCTAGTTTCCGTCTAGATAGTTCAGTTACTGTCTCAATACATCTGACCGCCCTACCTTCTTCACTAAGCAACTCGAAGTATCCTCTATACGTGTCTGGGATGGCGATTCTCGGCCCTACGGGTACCATGCGACGTCCTTCTTTGAGTTTGATAGCTTGGGCGATGATTTTCTTTCTCTTTCCCGCTGATATAAAGATCGCTGTGCTCTGTAGTCCGGGGCTCGGTAAGGTCGGGACACCCAGGCCTCCATACTGTCCTTTGATGATCTTGGCGACGCTCGGAAGGCGGTTCTTGGCGACGAACTCTCTTAAGTAATTCCCCTCATCAGACCAGCGCGAGGCAGCGACAACGATTTGCCCGTCTGTGGCTGCCATGGTTTTGTCACATCTGGAATCAGATAAACTAAAATTAATGATTGATTCAATTTGTATTCTAACTTCCAAGAGGACTTTTGTTTTTAATGAACAGAGTTACGCTGATACAATTTAATTTTATTTATTTATTTGGCACATAATACATATTACAAGTAAAAAATCTGGCTTGTAACATAAGCCATGTGTGCACGACTAATCAAGACAAATGTGCTAAGTTTGTACACAATGCTCTGTAGCTTTGGAGATGATAATAATATAATACCATCAAAATCTCTTTCTTTTTCTTGGTAGATTCTTGTTCATACAAGACCGCCTAATGTACTTTTTACCTTTAAACTTTTAAATTTTATTTTGACTTTATATACTCCTAGCCGTACTCGCCCGCTTCGCTAGGCATTTAAAATTAACATTGTTATTTATTTTCATTATTATTAGGGAGTCCAACACTCATGTAAATATTAGCCTATCTATTAAGAACATGTATTTTCTACATGAATACCAAGTTTCAAGTCAATCGGATGCATGGTTCAGTAGTTATAACGGAACATCCGCAAAAACCACTGTAGATTTATATATTAGTATAGATTAGGGTCCAATGAAACATAATCGACTCTAATCAAATTTTGTTAGAATGTTCTGGGTGAATTAGATAGTTTTTGGTCCATCCAAATCTGGATGATCTTCTCAACGATGTCGATTTTCGTTAACCATAGATAATAAGAAGAAATTACCACGAGTTAGGTACCACCGCCCTGCTTATTTCTGCCGTGAAGCAGTAATGCGTTTCGGTTTGAAGGGTGGGGCAGCCGCTGTAACTATACTTGAGATCTTAGAACTTATATCTCAAGGTGGGTGGTGCATTTACGTTGTAGATGTCTATGGGCTCCAGTAACCACTTAACACCACGTGGGCTGTGAGCTCATTCACCCATCTAAGCAATAAATATATTGACAACTTGAACATCCGTATAAAGTTGAGTTACCGGATCGTAAAGTAAAAATAACAGAACGTGGGAAACAGCCACGGAATGAATTAAAAAGTTTAAATGTTTTAAGCATTGACTTGGTTAAAGTCTTGGATTAGTTATGTTAACGACTTCTCGGCGGAAACATTCAGTGTGTACTTACCGCGTACTTCAGTACCGAGAAACTGTGTGCTTTATTTCACGATTTGAGCTTTGCGAGGAATTGACATAAACTTTTTTTTATTGTCATTGCATGAAGTTTATGTCACCTGATAGTAAGTGGTTACTGTCGCTAATGGACACCAGCAATGCCAGAGGTAAAGGCAAAACGCTGCCTAGTATTGAAGACTCTCCTTATGATTCAGGGTTTTATTTTTTGGTCTATAAGCGCACGCGTGCTCTCCTTCAAGCTGGTGTTTTTTTTTAGGATTGAAGGATTACTGTTGGCCCGGAGGCCTTTCCAGTTTCACCAGGACAGGTGGGCGAGCAAAGGCTCAGCCAGGAGGGGTGGGATTTGCTAACAGCTGCCCGAGCGCCTCCGAAGGAGATCTAACAACTCAAGAGCAGCTGCGTCGCCAATGAATCTACTACAGGATCGGAATCGCGACCCGCTGAAAAGATCCGGCGAGAAACTCAGCTAGCTGATTCATGGGTTAGATTGCACGGCGAACTTTTTGTCGAGTTCGACTAGTACGGTTACCGAGGTCACTAAGCCTGCTCCTAGTGTTAGAGCTGAAGGCGTCTAATGCAAAGGTTCTGAAAGGATCTGATGGATCCGTCAAGCTGGTGTTCAGACGACCCCTAAGTACCATAATTTGAACGATATTTAACTGCCTTATCTTATTTACTTAGGTTTTCCAACATGTTATTTTATTAAAAAAGTAATAAGCGGTTTTTAATGTATGTCCTTCTTAATTCTAGAGAGACGCCGGGAAATTAGAAATTAAAATATATATCAACGAAAAATTAATACGTGAGAAAAATTTAGTCAGAATTGTATTGCACTCAGTTATTATAGTATTATGTAGACAACCTAATTATTTGTAGTAGTAAATTAATTAAATAGTATACGAATAGTTATCAAATTTTTTGGAAGCGAAACTTTTCCAACGGTCCTTTGCGGTTGGCAGCATCTTGACTCTGCCCCTGGCATTGCTGATGTCCATGAGTGATGGTAATCGCTCACCATCAGGTGGGCCGTATGACAGTCTGACAATTAAACAAACAAAATAACACTAGCCTAATATGTTGCAAAGAGCAAGTAACTATAAGGTGTAGACATTTTATTCGCAAATGAAATAGCTAAAACACAATTTTCCTGTAAAGCGCTTGTCTGATCTGGGAAATACTGCCCGGATATAATTTGACATAGACAGCGAAATCTTTTTTATTTTTTTATTGCTTAGATGGGCGGACGATCTCGCAGCCCACCTGTGTAAAGTGGTTACTGGAGCCCATAGACATCTACGACGTAAATGCGCCACGCAACTTGAGATATAAGGTCTCGAGTATAGTTACAACGGCTGCCCCACCCTTCAAACTGAAACGCATTACTGCTTCATGGCAGAAAAAGGCATATAAAAAAATAGAGCCATTGGTGCACATTTGCATCTCTACCTTTCAGTACCAATGCTCCGCAGAGTTACAGTGTGGATGCGACACACGAATCCGCTCTAACGCGAGAGTCATCCTATTCTATAACTGGACTGATCACTGGGAAAGTGGTCACCCACTTTGAGATATGAATTCTAAAATGTCAGTATAGTTACAACGGCTGCCCCACCCTTCAAACCGAAACGCATTACTGCTTCATGGCAGTGATAGGCAGGGTGGTGGTACCTACCCGTGCGGACTCACAAGATTTCCTACAACCAGTAAAAATCGTCGTGGCCTAAAAGATAAGACGATCGACTTACGCGTATCGATCGATTTGACTGTTCTGGTGTTCGAATCCCGCATGTAGGTACCCATTTTTGTAATGATATAAATACGTTTTTTTTTATTATATACACGTACTTATCGGGTGTTCACGTATAGTTTCTACGTGTTAAAATCAAATACGCGAAGAGTAGAATTTGTGTAATTACTATACAGACTGAGATATACACTGAAGTTTCAAGATAAGTAGTGCAGTAATGACCAGTATAAAAAGACCTCGTGCTTAGAGTGGTTGTCAGCATTTATGGTGTCTATGTTCGCTGGTAGAGTCTTAGTCTTAATTTCAGGTGTTCCGTGGGCTAATTTAGCCATCCAGAGCAATAAACAGATTAGAAGTGGCTAGTTTTTTTTTTTTAAACCTATGCTGATAGCCTTGAGAGGAATTTCAGCGGAACCTTAATTAGTAGGTGAGCTCACGGGCCTCAAACCTGATGAAGTTGCTAACACGAACCGTAGCAAGAGCCGTGCTTCGCAGAATCTACCACCGGATCGGAAACGCGACCCACTGAGAAGATCCGGCGAGAAACTCAGTGGGCTGTATCTATGGGTTAATTTACTCGTCGAGCCCTTCGTCGCAAGCGACGGGTTCGACGAGAACGGTGACCGGAGTGGCTAGACTAGAATATAAAAGATTTAAATTTAAAAACAAGTACTAAAAGTAAAAAAATAATCAGAAACCTTTACTAGGGTTATCACATTTTGTTATCCCGTTCCTGCGTGCTTAGTACGAGTTTGTTAACGTTCTCGATAGGGTAAAAGTTAACTCAAATTTGTGTGGAGTTGGAACGTTTGCACAGAAGAAATATATTATTATGTCTTAAGTGTGTTTGTTACTGAACTCCTCTTAAACGGCTGGATCGATTTGATTGTATACATTTAGGTGGCACCCAGGATGGTTTAGATTCACAAATCAGCCCGGCAGATGGCGCTGCAGTCGGTATCGAGGTTATTTATCTTTCCTAGAAATAATTTATATGGCAAAACAACGTTTGCCGGGCCAGCTAGTAAATACTATATAAATACTAATAACTGCTATATTCTATATTTACAAACAAAATATTCTTTATCAGTTGATCAATAATAATAAAATAGCTTGCGCTATTCCGTTTAATGTCATCCCGCGTTTTTATTATGTAGTATGTAGTTGGAACAGCACCCCTTTGCGGCAAACATTCCAACTCCATACAAATTTGAGTTAACTTTTACGCTATCGAGAAAGTTAAAAAACTCGCACCAAGCACACTGATCTATTGGCACTATTCATTACGGTAGCGGTTCGCTAAACAAAACAAATATTACGAAAACAATTCACGTTGTATTTAGCACATCGTTCAACAAATTAACGGTTCTAAATTAGTCAATTTTCGGCTAATTAACCCGTGAATACGTTCAAAACAAACTGTATTGTAGTGCGTCATTGTTAAGGAGCACTATCCAGTAATGCAGCGATGCTATTCTATTGCAAAGCTATGTTTTATCTATATATTAATACGTGAAGAAAAAACTTTGTATCCCTTTTTATGAAAATTGCGCGGACGGAGGAGTATGAAATTTTCTACTCTTATAGAGAATATAGAGAAGAAGTGCACAATGCTAATATTTTTTAAAAATAATGCATAAAAGATACATTAAATCAATAAAGAAAACATTACACACACTACATACCATGTATTTGACGCACACACGCATGCATACTATTTGTTGTCAAACTTTTGTTCTTGACGTCTGTTGTCAAATTGAGAATACATTAAATATTGTTTGTCTTTATTAATATTTCTATAGTGTAGCCTTGGTGAAATTTGTGATTATAGAAGTATAAAATACAATCATAATAGTGTACAAACTTACAATTCCAATTAATTATAGTCGAATTTCGACTACTGCGAGACCTCTAGTTGTTGGTTATTAAGTGTTAGCACTATAGCTAGTAGCGATAAGAATAATCGTATTGTCGATGGACTCTATCGCTTTTGGACGTTCGCATAGCAAGCCGTATACACTAAAGCAGCTACCTATGCCTGAAAATCTCATTTATGTGAAGCTTAAATAGAAAATAGATATTTTACTAAAGGAGAGGGAAAGAGAAAGAGCGATGATTTTATACGCATTTA